TCTAATCTACCCGAAACCATATTCTATCTACTTAAGGGGGACTTTAAGCGTTGAACCCCAAACTCTTCAGGCAAGACGGGCCGTGGACCTCTGCCTCCACTGCCGGAGGAGCCGTGTAGGTATGCTGGAAGACATTTTCCCAAAGGGTCCATGTAGGTATATGGTATTTACTCAAGGGGTCAAAGGGGTTCCCATATACTTACTTTAAGGCCCAAGTATATCCCATATACCTACATAGACCCTTTGGGTTTAGCATGATATATGTACTCTGTTTCAGATCTCGGGCGTTCATCGGTCCACGGTCGAGGAGGTCCAAGACATGCAGTGGTGGTTCGACCCCCATGTTTGCCAGATGATTAAAGGGGCCTTCCCCTGAGATTTTTTTCCTGGACCAGTCGGGACCCTTGACTCATATCAAAATGGGTGGCCGCAACCAACCCTCAGGGTCCGAGTCCAAGGACCCAAACAAAAAGGGTTTTAGGACCCAAATACTATAATGTGAATGGTAGTTGGGCCCTAAAGCCCTACTGCTTGGGTCCTTGGACCCTTAGGGCAAAGCCCGAAGTACCAGTCTTCGTGCCCTCCATGCTTCGAGAAGAAACGTGCTGCTGGGGCCAAATTTGAAGTCCATGACTGAGAAGGCAGGATTTTAGAACACACCGCCTGGCAGCAGTGGGGCGCTGGACATGTTGTTTGTTAGAACCTGAAACCCAAAACTCGATAAGCCCATGGACCTTAAACTGGGCAAAAGAGAGTGAAGAATAGGAGTCGTCGCGGAGTTGAGGGACTAGAGGGCAATTCCTAACAACCTCAGCAGTTTGACATTAGCTTGTGGGCACAGATGAACGGCTGAAATATTTGGAAGCTTAGTGCAATAGCAATTCTTCAGGATCATATAGAAACTCTGCATGTTCTCTCTTCTCTCTAAGCTGCATAACCCTGCCGAAAGTTCTCTGCACCATCCCCACGGATGACCCTAGACCCGAAATCCTAAACACTTTTATTAGGGTTTAGGGTTTAGGGCTTGGAATTCCTAAGCCCTAAACCCAAGACCCTGCGCCCGAAATCCTCAACCCTAAACCCCAAAGCAACCTTTCCTGTAGTTACCCACGAATCTTCAGCATCTTCAAGCAACACGCATTCCCGTACATAGTTTGCATTCTCTCTTGAATCCAGCGATGAAAAACCTGTGCCCAAAACTTTAATTCCTAAGCCCTAGAAAATCTAGAGCTCGGGCGGCAAAGACACGGAACCTATCGGACCGAGTTCGATCGACTCGTCGCTCTGGACCGTCCCCTGCGCGACAGTGACAAGCTGCACTGCGAAGTTCTCCAGGAGCTTGCCTGCAACCAGCTTGCCCGGATACCCGATGCGCGCAAGGCCTTTTTCGTGGCCACGGACTCCGGCGCGTCCGGCATGCTGCGTGCCATCGCTCACTTTGTACTCCTGCGACAGGCTTTGGCCATCTCACGAGAGGACTCTCTAACAAGGCCGGGTCTTGCACCTAGGGCCAAAAGCAAACCATCTCAGCGGCAGACATAGTATCTCGCACCTTTACATTCAGGGCTACGACCCGTAGTGCCTTCCTTTTGCACTAAGAAAAACAGCCGAAGCTCTGAACCCCGAGCTTCAAGACCCAAACCCCGAAGCAAGGGCCTAAGCCCTGAGCGCAGAACTCTCAAACCCATTCCCCGCCAGAAAGAAGCTAAGCCATGCACCCTGGACCCTTACAACAATGGCCTATATGACCTTTAGTTTGCGGTAAACCCTAAGCACTATACAATCCCCATAGATCCCTATAGAACCTTAGATCTTCCCTACATTGCCTTGTTTCGAGGGATGGCAGGAAACCATTCTCTAAACCCTAAGCCCTATGCCCCATAAATCCTATACCCTTGACCCTAAAGCCCTATACCCTAAGCCCTATACCCTAAACTCCAGACCCTATACCCCAAACCTTAAGCCCTGTACTCTAAACTATAAACCCATACGCTAAACCCCAAATCGGATCGCAGGATCGGCCGCGGCGAGCCCGAGGCAGTCGCAGGCCTAACTCGGCTCAGGCAGAGAAATCCCGAACCCAGGAGATCTGCCGCGGGTTAGGGTTTAGGGTTGAGGGCTTGTATGTTGGGCTTTTGATTTAGGATTGAAAAGGGTTTGGGATCTAGAGTTTAGGATTTAGAGCTTGGGGTTTAGGATCTAGGGTTCAGGATTGAGGGTTTAGGATTTAGGGTCCAGGATTGAGGGTTTACGACCTAGGGTCTAGGGTTTAGGTTTCACGCTGGTTCGGCATTAGAGGGGTTCTGTGTCTCAGGTTCGGGTTTTGTGGGGCTAGGGGAAGGGACCAGAAATCATGGTCGATAAGGTTTGGATCACGAGATGTTGAAGGTGTGTCGTTTGTTGTCAAACCCTAAGGGTCCCAATACCATTCATCTTATAGTATTTGGGCCCTAAAAGCCTGGTATTTGGGTCCTTGGACCCTTAGAAAAAGGTCCTGTTCCCTTAGTTGGGAATATCGCCAAGGAGTTCTCTAGACCTCATCTCGTTCCTGAGACGCAGGCAAGTAGATACCCAAACAAGACATGAGGGATCTGAGGAGGTTCTAACAAAGGCCCTTACCCTGAAGTATCCTCAACTCTCTCAACAACGAGGCAGCCTTAAGCCCTGATCCCTAAACCCTGAAACCCAAACCCTGAACCCCAAACCCTGAATCCTAAACCTCGAACCCTGAACCCCAACTCTGACTCAAAAGCCTTTATCTACGGCACCAAAGATTCCTTGGGTAGTTATCGTGGATGGCCAAACGCTGCACATCCCTAGATAGCCCAAGTTTAGGCTTTAGGGTCTAGGGGCAGCATGTTGGGGGCGCTAAGTGACAGCAACCCTAGACTCCTAGTTCCCTGATACCGAAACTTTCGTGCTCAGGGTTCTGAATCTTGCGCCCAACACCCAAAACCTTAAACCCTAAACCCTACTCGGAGGGTCAGGGGGCTTTAGTAACTGGGATACTAATGGGGTTAACCGGTGTTGCTCTATAGCTCATGAGGGTTTCAAATGTACTTACTAAGCACCCCTAACGCTCCAAGCAAACCCTAAACCCTAAATCCCTAAACCCCTTACCTCAAAACCCCTAAACCCCTAGACCCTAAACCCCTAAACCCTAAACCCTTAAACCCTCAACCCTTAAACCCTGTGAAGAAGGAGGTCCGGCCTCGGGAAATTCTCCGTGCACTCTCGCTGCCTCCTCTGCAAAGTGCCCCATGGGCTGCAGCCAGGAACTAGGATTGGGGCCTAACTTAAATAGGGTTAAGGCGGTTTAGGGTTTAGGCGGTTGAGGGTTTAGGTTTTCAGGTTTAGGGTTTGAGGTTTAGGGTTTAAGGCTTATGGTTTGAGGTTTAGGGTTTGAGGTTTGGGGTTTGAGATTTAGGGTTTGAGATTTAGGGTTTAGGCTTTTCGGGCCTAAATTAAATTGGGTGCCTTCAAGGACTAGGGGTGCCGTTTTAGGAGCCTCAGCTTAGAAACGACAATAGAATTTGAGGTCTATAACGCCTGAATTCTGTACATCCCTATACATGTATCTGTGCACGTATGTCCCCATATAGCTCCCATCTACAACATACCTGGACCCCCATAGATAAAGTCCGACTGGTATTCTACTTCTACATAGTTTCGGGTTTCCAGTAGTCCCTTCTTGGGCGTGGTGTACATTGCGGGACCTGAGTTCTAGGAACCAATGGCGAGTAGTGCTGCCATTTTAACGATGCGTGCTGGGCAAACAGTGCAGAAGCCTTGGCCCCCTAAACCCTAAACCCCTGAACCCTAAATCCTCAACCCTAAGCCCCCTTAGCCCTAAATCCTAAACCCTCAACCCTACGCCCCCTAAACCCTAAATCCTAAATCCTAAACCCTAAGCCCCCTAAACCCAAAACCCTCACACCAATCCCTGTCAACCCTGCACTCTGCAAGTACCAAACCCTAAACTCCGAGACCTTCTGGAAGAATTCCTAAACCTCCTCTAAGCCAGATATAGGGATTGGTGTGAGGGTTTGGGGTTTAGGGTTTGGGGGTTAGGGGTTTAGGGGTTCAGGGGTTTAGGGGTTCAGGTTTTTAGGGTTTAGCATATAGGGTTTAGGGTTTAGGGTTATATTGGGATATTGGAAAACAAAATGGGAACTAAGGAAACTGTTGGTGGTTTCTTGGTGTTTCTCTTGTAGTTGCACGTGAGGGTTGGCAAGCATGATATATCATGATATTCACTTGGGAAGCAGCTTGCCTTGGCCAATTCTGTTCACGGTCTCACGGTCCGGAAAGAACAAATATTGAACCAGCCATTGTCCTCACGAGATTAAATCAAGATGATTGGAAAGGTGAGTTGTGACAACCGACCTTCATGAAGGTCAAACAATCCACTTGATCACTTTGCATGCCTTTGTTTCGGAGCAAAAGATGGCATGAGTGGCACAAGCAGACGGCAAGCGAAGTACTGAATGGGCAGCGTATTAAAAAATAGAGTATGTTATGTTAGGGTTATGCAGGGATAATGAAAAGAAAATGGGAAACTACTATATCATAATAGGGATGAAACTGTGGATGCATAGGGCTAATGGAAAAATGGAAAGCACTACCCAGAGTAGCGATAAAGGGTTTCGTAATTGATATGTTGGTCTCATGACCTTTCTCAGGGTCTAAGCGGCTTCTGCTCCCCGATATTTCCGGGCGAATGCCAGATCTTCAAGGCATCATTTCGCTTGCTGCTTGCTATCCCAAGCCTCCACAAAGAGCACTCTACAACCACACTGGTGAGATCAAGCGCCTCCTCGCGCAGCATGGGGCCGCAACCATTGGCATCTTGTTCAAACCATACCAGATGGCGGGCAGTATCGCGGTGTACCTCCAATCTGGCAAAATAATCATTCAAGGTAGCTTGCTCCATAGCAAGCTGATGCTAGAAAAGATGGTAGAACCGTGGAAGCAACTGTGGCCCCTGGGCGGGGCCGCAGCTAAACATGCAAGAGTTGCATGTGCCAACTTCCCTACTCCAGAGATGGCGAGGGCCATGGCCATTAGACCGGCAGTGGCCGATGAAAGTGTTTGAGCCAAAATTAAAGTGCACTTGGTGCAGCTCTAGGCCACTTTGCATGCGTTGCAGTTACAACAGCCTTGGCGGGGGTTATTCCAGGTAAACTTTAGTGCTTATACCCACAGCACTGGAAAGATGTAGAAAGTAGATCCCCCTTAAGAGCTCCTAGAAATTAACATCACCAGCCCTGAACCCTAAACCTTAATTACTGCAGTAAGCCTTAAAGCATTGCCATGGTTGCGGCTGTCCTTCGTCTAAAGGAGCAGCCGTCCCGATGCACAAAGCTTCAACTTGGTAGGCGTGTCTCCGAAGCCTTAGGGCTCCCAGTTACCTAAAGTTTAGGGTTTGGGGTTTAGGGGCTACTGGGCAATTTAACTATAGGGTACAGAGCACCCAGAACCAATTGTTTAGGTAACTGGAGCCCCAGGGAAGGGTTTGGGGCGCAAGGCATTTCCCGATATGATTCTCAGGAACACGCAAATGAAGATATGGTTTGCTTATCACCTTTGTCATCAGCTTTTCTCAATGCCTGAAGCTTATGAAGCTTCAACTTCAAACATCCCATGGCCCTGAGGCCTGCATGGTCATTTCTCCCTACTGGGTCTAGCGTTTAGGGTTTTTGGTTCAGGGTTTACGGTTCAGGGTTTCGGGTTGGGTGCCTATGTGCCACTTGAACACGGCTGCACCCCCAGGATAGATTTCGTGAAGCCCTGGAAACCTGCACCCTTGGAGGGTCGTGGAGACCTAGTAAGTGGGTCAACAATGGGGGGGTAACTGGTGTTACTATATGGGTTACAGGGGTTATAAGTATACTTACTAAGCCCCCCTGATCCCCCAAGTAAGCCCTGAATCCTAAGCCCTAAACCTTAAACCTTAAGCTCTAAACCCTAAACCCTGAACTCTGGTCCAGGGTTTCTCGACATCAGGGTATGTCTGCCTGGGGTCCTTCAAGTTTATCAAGATCCTGTTGTTCCCAAAGCGGCTATTACGGAATTACACTTTCCTTGTAGACCTACAGGTACCTTAAATGATTTCCTGCAGGAAGTTGAGATCACCCCCCCATTTATGGAATTTTCATGAGTGAGGCTTTAGGATCCAAGGGTTAAGGTCTAAGGATTATAGCTTAGAATTTAGGATTTTGAAGTTGGGCCTCGGGGTTGGGATTTTGGATTTTGTTTTTTGGTGTACACTCTTATCTGGGGATAATGGAAAATGCATTGGAAACTACAGGAATTATAGGGATTATTTGGGGGTTATATAGGGATTATAGGGGTATATACTCTCTGGTATTGGGGGCCAATGACAGATGGTCACTTCGGTATTTCTCAATGTCGTGTTCTACTCTGAACCCCCTCCAAGTGCTAGGTGAGTTCAGTTGCGGTACTCATGACCTCGAAAGATCTACGTTTGGCCTTGTTCAAGGAGGGTAGTTTTCCAGTTTTCAAGGCGTGTTTCTCAGGACTTAGGGAGATTTGGTAGTTTTCCAAAAGAAGGAAAGCCCTAATACAGACCCCCAAATTTTAAAGTCCTTATCATATGGACTCCAAAAAAGGTTGCCATAATAATTTTCGGAAACCCCCATATCAGAGAACATGAAGGCCGTGAAGTGTCGAAGCTTGAAAGAGGAGTCTTATATTGAAGTACGCAGGGGTATGTAGACCCATCATAAATAAACCCCCTCCTTTTGAGTGCCTTCTAATATTCGGATCCTTATTTTAATCCCTACTACGGGGAGGGGGTCTATTAATCAGGGGTCTGGCTTATGTAGGATTTTATCATGGGAGCTTGAACCCTGAACCCTAATCTATAGGTACCCATTTGGTAATTGATAAGAGTATTTTGGTAACCCCACCCCCAAAATAAGGACCCTATAACTATCATATGATAGTCATAGTGTCCTAATTTTGGGGGTTGGGGTTACCAAAATCCTTTTGTGAGTCATATCAGGTTTATAGTGGATAACGGAAAAGAACATGGAAACTACCATAATGGTTTATGTGGGTCTTTGGGTTCAGGAAATCCTTAAACCCTGAAGTCATAAGTTCAGCTATGCGGGCTTCTCACAGGGCGACACCATTTTGTCGTTGTTGCAACCTCTGGAAGAGTTTCAAGTCAGACGAAAAAGATATGTATTTTTCCGATCTATCCGCATATGAGGCAAAATTTTCTCATGGGTTCCTGGTGTGCGTAGATATACATGTGTATATGATATGGATATTGCCTCATACTGGAGAGCTCGAATGTGCATTTGCAGGAGGGGAGTTACCGTGTAGGGACTTTACATAACCCTCATATGCCGCTTGTATAACCTTTCATGGCCTTCTATATAGCTTATATACCCCTTACATAAACTCCCCCTATTTGAAACTCCCAACCAGATTCCTGTAAGTCTTTGGCGTTACGCCTTTCAGTTTCCTCCCTGCATCGCGAAGTCCTGGCCACCCTAACCCTAAACCCTAAGCTTCTTAACCCCAAACCCTAAGCCCCAAAACCCTAAACCCTAAGCACCTAACCCTAGCTTTGATAAAATACCCTTCAGTCCGAGACCCTGAACCCTGAACCCTAAACCCAGACCTTTTGTTGTTGTAGGGACCCTTTTAGGGTTTAGGGTTTAAGAGGGACCCCCCACAGAATCTCAAGGAATCACTATGCTTTGGTAACCTTAAACCAAAAAACCCACATGTCGTCCATAAAGCCTCTATGCATAGGGTATTGGCCCTCCCTCGTGATAGTTTGATCTTAAAATATACATGAACATATAAACATATAAAATCTAGATATGTCCCTGAACACCCTTGCAGAGTGTTATCGGGTAGGGGCAGTGCCCTCCACCCCAAACCCTCAATCCGCATACACTCCTGAACCCTAAGCCCTAAGCAATGTAGGGGTCTTCATTAATCAAGCCCCTATGCACCCTTGAAGAGGGAACCATTGGTCTTGGAAAGGGCAGAACCTAAACCCTAAACCCTACACCCGAAACCCTAAACCCTTAACCCTAGACCCTGAACCCTAAGAAAGTCCGCTGCCCTTGCAGGTTACAGCTTCCGGTCGAGGCGGTGCTGAAGACGGTGGCCCTGAAACTGGTTGTGTGAATGGAGGGGGGGGCTCAGGGTTTAGGGATTCGGGCTTAAGGTTCAGGGCTTATTGGTTGGGGATCGGGATTTTGGGATTCAAGGGGTCTGAGGTGTAGGATTCAGAGTTGCAAGGTTGGGGATTACGGACAGGGTGATTTTCAAAGTTAAGGGTCCCATGTTGGCCTTCCAAGGTGCTGGCTGTTATGGTATTTTTCCTGTCCAATTTTTTTCAGACTAACTGGGTGTATGCGTAAGTTTCGGGGTCACTAGGGCTTTCGCGGTTTGGGCATACGGCTTGCGGGCTGGTGTGTAGGGATGAGGGCTTCGGGCATAGGTTCAGGGTTTAGGGTTCAGGGTTTAGGGCTTAGGGTTTAGGGTTAGGGCTTAGGGTCTAGGGGAGCCCCTTTCTGTTTCATCTTGGTTGCAAGTACAATCGCTGTCTCGCCTCTTCCTGATGATATTTCTGGAGCTGGGGGCTGTCAAAAAGATGGTCACTACACAGCTCACATGAGCTATAGTCTAAACTCCTTAAAGGGGGGTAATATAGGGAGTATATAGGAGAGTACTATAGGGCTTATTAAGGGGGATACTAGGAATTTAGACTATAGCTCACATGAGGGACCCCCGACATATCTTATAATTCCTATATGTACCCTGAAGGCCTGAACCAAAAACCCGGCGATCCCTATGGACAGCCTCTCTACCCTAAATCCTAAACCCAAAACCCTAAACCCGAGGTCAGTTTTGTTTTTCTTCTTCTTCAACTTTAGGGTACGGGGTTTGTAGGGACCTAGGTCTTGTAGGCTTCATAGGGTTCATAGGGTCTATAGGGATCGTAGGGTTTACAAGGTTTGTAGGGTTTAGGGTTTGAAGTTTAAGGTTTATGGTTTCAACCCTGGGTGACGAGTCTCTTTCATCCCTCGATTCATCCATGGCTGAGCCTACAAAACACTAAAGTATCTCTATATTATCCCTATATAGTCCCTACATTATTCCCATGATATCCCTACATATTCCCTGTATTGGTATAGGTACCTCTATATTACCCCTATATATCCCTATATAAGCCTTACATTATCCTGATAAAACCTTATATAATGCCTATATGCTTGCTGCTTCAAACTTCCTTGTGCATTTGAAACCTACGTGGAATGGGGGTTAAGCATAGAAGTGACTTAAGGGGGTGACGAGTACAGTTATAAGCCCACTTTAGAACGGTTTGAAAGTCCCATGAATTTCCAAGTATGTTGCCTGCAAACCCTAAACCCCAAGCGCTAAACCCTGTAACCACATCCCTTGAAATTCTTCAGATGCTGCCCTTGCAGCAAGCGGTTTAGGGTTGTGGGCTTGGGGTTTGGGGATCCTGACTAAGCTCCCAGAACTGCATGGACTCAACCCTATACCCTAAGCCCTGAACAGTAAACCCTAACACTAGAGCCTAAGTAAGCCCCAAACCGCGACTTTGAACGGAGTTGCGCCACCATTGTCTTGACTGCTGTTGAGGCATTCTTTGACATTCTTATAATAAAGAAACCCAAGTATTGTCTATGTTGTTAAAAATTACTGCCTTGTAGCAGCTACAATGCTGAATGGTTTGCATGAGCAGGAAAGCATGTATTATGCTATGTATAGGCTCAGACCAGGCACCCAAGGATACCTAGCAGTGCCAAAGGAAAAAGGTGTCTCCCGTGAATTGTATAGGAAAGCCTTTTGTTTCACGGTAGCGGAGCTCACCCAGGAATTTGGGAGCGATGATGCTGCCACAATCCATGGCAATAGCAGGTGTGGCCATATGGTTGACAGGAATGGCCGTACTGATCGCTTGCTGGCGCCACCTGAAATCGCAGGAACGGTTTCAGATCAAAACCAGGAGCACGCACTACATGCCAGAGTTGAGCATAGCCGTGTGTTCAGGAAAAGCATACCACAAGGCTACTTGCGAGCATGTCACGGACCTGGCTGCTCATCCTGTGAGTGAAATCAGGAAGTTTACTGCTTGCAGAGTTTGTTTGCAGAGGCATGCAGAGTTTGTTTGCAGAGGCATACATAGTCGAATCTGTGTGAAAACAGGAAGCCACGGTGTTTCTTCTGCCCAGGAATCACCGCATTTGCTGCAGAAATGTGGACTGGAGTGGTGTTCTGCCTGCTGTACGGTCTGCACCTTTCAGTAATTGGTGCATCGGTGCACAAAGGCATCGTCAAGGAAAACCGCTTTCCCTACGCGGAGTCAGCAGATGAGGCTGACACACATGCACAAGGAAAACCAAGAACACAGCAGCCGCAAGATGATGCAGCAAGCGTCATAACAGCAGAACTTGTGTCTGAACTCAAGGAAGCAGCTCATGATCTCAGGATCAGTGAGAAAATCAGCAAAGAGCAATTGAAAGAGAGCATGAAGCACTTGAGGAGGAAAGGAAGCAACACAGGATGTTTCAGAACAGCTTGTTAGAGGAGCTGAATAGGTTGAGATTGGAGCTTGAGGAGACAAAGAATAAGAACAAGGAAGAAGAGGAGAAGAAGAAAAGCAAGGAGGAGAGTGAAGAAGCCACAGGAAGCGTAGAAAAAAGAGAATCAAAGCCAAAGTCCCAAAGGAGGAAAAGTCAAAGGAAAGGAAGACTCAGACTTGACTGCAGACCAGACAGAGTTCTGGGAATGGAACGGCGAGATGTACAAGTGGTGGAAGAATGCCTGGTTCTGGCAAGACAAGACAGATCCGTCGAAGTGGACAAAGTTCACAGGAACCTTCCAGTGAGCAAGAAAGAAGCTTGAAAGGAAAAGACCTGGACGGCGAGATGGCAAAGGCTCAGGCAATGTTCACCAACGACCACTACTACCAGAGCATGTATAGAAGGAATGTAGTGTGTTGTTTCTTTTGTTTCAAGGAAAGTAAGTGCAGTCCATATCCAGAACATATAGGATGTTGTACAAACGTTCCTTGTGAAGGAATAATTTGCAATCAGTGACCTGTGTAATGGAGTTACACTTCCCACTGTAGCAGGAAAAGCTAATGTAGAAGTCCCTTTAGGATACTTAGTATCCTTGCAGACACTTCTAAGGCGGGGTGTTAAACATTACTGCGTTGTAGTAGCTACAGTGCTGAGTGGTTTGCATGAACAGGAAAGCATGTACTATGCTATGTATAGGCTCAGACCAGACGCAGAAAGACACTTAGCAGAGCCAAAGGAAAAAGGTGTTTTCAGTGAATTGTATAAGAAAGCCTTGTTTTTGTCATATATACCCATATTATGGTAACTTAACCCTAAACCTTAAACCCTAAACACGAACAGCAGCCACCATTTTTGCTCAGGACAACGTCGTTAAATTCGCTGTTGGTACGGAGGGACCAATGACCAGGAGTTTGATAACGCAGTTGCCCGGCCCGTCGGATTTAAGGTTCAGGGTTTAGGGTTTCGGGTTCAGGGTTAAGGTTTTAGGGTTAAGGGTTTAGGTTGAGGGTTAAGGGTTTAGGTTTAGGGCTTAGGGTTTAGGGTAAAGCCTTAAAAGTTAAAAGGGCTTCGTAAAGTGCAGGCCTCAGAATGCCTTGGGGCCATCTAACTAAGGGGGTGCTGGGGCTTGTACCAGCCATCTAGCTTCATATAATCCCGAAATATGGGACCCCAAACCCCAAATTTCGTGTGTAACCCCGGAAAGGACATCCGGGATCCAGTAATTTTTCGATTTAGGGTTTAATGTCCAAATTTGAGGGTATTGGAATCCCTTGATGTCCCTGCGTGTCCGCGGGATGACTACTTACATATGAGCTGTAGTCTAACGTCCTTAAAGGGTCGTTATAGAGCGGAGTAGATAGGGGGAGTAGTATAGGGGTTTGTTAAGGGGGACACAAGGAGATTAGACTATAACTCATATGGGGTTTCGGGTGCCATCTGGGGGATTTCCATAATAAGGATTATAATAGGGTTTAGGGTTTAGGGATCTATATTGGGGACTTCCTCTTTGTAGAAACCACCATATATTTGTTGTCCGTAACCCCAAGCGCCAGAGGTTTTAAGTTGTAGGTTAGGATTTGGACGGTTCCGTCCGTGTTCGACAAGTGTAGCTTTTGAGGAATCATCCTGAATCGTATAGGAGTTTCTTGTATTTTGTAACATACACTCTTGATCTCAGATGTACTGAGTACCGGGATCTCTGGGCGGGGGGCAGTTTCGTGGCCTTTTGCTCCTCGCCAGTTTTTTCCCTCAACCTCGGGGGGCAGGAGGGCAACCATAGTCAGAGGTTTAGGGTTTAGGGTTCAGTGTTTGGAGGATAAGAGAATCACACTGGTTAGGGCTTTATAGGAATAATTTATCCCATCATGGCCCCAGATTCCTTGTAGAATTATGCTTCAATCCCCAAACCCTAATCCCGGAACCCTGACCCCCAAGCACTCATTTAGGACCCCTACAGCATACCGTGTCTTACAGCTTTCATACTGCATTTGTAGACATAACTTCTCGAGTTGATCCCACAAGGTTCATCTGTGTTAAGAGTTAAGGGTTAGGGTTTCAAGGGTTCGGATTTATGGATTGAAGATTTTGAGTTTATCCATGTACCCCTAAACCCTAAACCCTGTACATACCCTCAAACAAAGGTTCAATGGTCGGGAAACTTCGACGGGATCTTGCTTGGCATTTGCGCCCCAACAGATCCTGGGCTTGGTTTAGGATTAGGGACTCCCACACCCCCAAAGGAGTTTAGGGTTTAGAGATCCCCTAGAACCATATGCAAAATTATGTAAGGATTATATAGGGGTTATAATAGGTCTATATAGGGGATCTAATTTTTAGATCCTCCCAGGGGTCTGGATTAGGAATTAGAGAGTTTAGGGATTGAGGGTTTAGGGTTTAGGAATTAAGGTTGAGGGATTATAGCATGAAGGGTGTAAGGATTAGGGATTGGGATTGAGGGATTAGGGTTCAGGATTGAGGGATTAGGGTTTAGGAAATTAGGGTTTAGGAATTAGGGTTTGTGGGACTAGGGTGTAGTGTTTCAAGGGTTCGGGTTTGGGACTAGGGTTGGGGGATTAGGGTTTAGGGTTTCAAGGTTTGGGGTTTCCGGATAAGGGTTTAGGGTTTCAAGGTTCAGGGTTTGGGGTTTCAAGGTTCAGGGTCTAGGGTTTGGCGGTAATGGAGAGTCGAATGGAAGAGAAAATTGAAAGTGAAATGGAAACGACTGGGGTTTCAAGTTGCAGGTAGGCGTGAGCATGGGTTGTACCATACTGGAGCTTCCAAACTTTGAGTTTCCAACTACTTCTAAACCCCAACAGGAGTGTAGGCCATGTACTCACGTTGGAGACGTTTGGGTGCGCTACTTGCGACGGATTCTGTTCATGGTATTTGTGTTGCGACCGGCAGGCTTTTTGGCATCAGATGGGCAATCCTGCTTGCTAGTTTGCCAGTGTCTGGAAAAAGACTTTGTTTGCGCAAGCGTGACAATTAGCCAACGAGAGCGCAACATTTGCAGCAGTTCGCCCCTACACCTCCGCCCTGACATATCCCAGCGCAGTTAACACCAGTTTGTATACTCAGCTATTTGTACGGTTTCTTTAATAGTCATTATTACTCTTATTACGATTCTTCTTCTTCTACTGCTATTATGCCGTTACTACTATTTTGCAATTGCTACTTTAATTTATCGTTCTTTTTCTCATATAGCTATTTTAACCATTGTTGCACTTATTACCATAATTAGCAGGTGTGATAAAAGAGCAGACCTCAATCTCCAAATGCTTATCCACCTTGGATAGAGGAAAGCTTTCACCAGCAAATGTTGTGCCACCTTCACTCGCCCTAAACCCTAAACCCCAAACCCTAAACCCTAGGGTGTAGGGTTGAGGGTTTAGGGTTTAGGGTTTATCGCCTTGCAGATACTACGCAGTTCGTAGATCTCCTCCATCCACGTAATCAATGTAAGTGATGTGTGCACTTGGTTGGCTTAGGCCCCCACCCGGTAGTGATGATATAACAAAAGATATAGTGGGCGCCTTCATATAGTTACCATGACTACCTGTGATCTTGAAACCTAAACCCTAATCCCTGGACCTGGCGGGGGCATAACCTAAGCAACAGCCCTAAACCCTAAACCCTACTTCTCCGAAAGCCCAGGAAGACTGGATCCGACAACCAGGTGACTGCTCTTTCCTTGTCATAGGGTTCAGGAGGATCTAGGGGTTCAGAGTTTAGGGTTCAGTGTTTGGGGTGTCAGGGGTTTAGAGTTTGGGGTTCATTTCTGCGTGTTTCAGAATGTCTGGTTCATGGTTGAATCCAATCCAAACCCTCAACCCTAAACCCTAAACCTGGAGCTTCAACCGGAACCCTTCATGCGGCCATTTTTATCAACACAAGCGCTTCCCTTCAACGTCAAGCTCTTACAGAATACTCGCGTTCTTTTTCCAAAAGGGGCCCAGGCATGTATCCCAGTATATCACAATCATTTTAATGAGGGTGGAGCCCTAAGCTTGAAACCTTCAACCCTGAACCCCACCCTCCTAAAGCCCTAAACCCTAAACACCCTAAACCTTAAACCCCAAACCTTACCACCCTAAGCTCTAAGCCCTTAACCTTTGAAACTGCTTAGACTTGTCAGGCCACTGCCGAAGACTGGCAAGCTGAGAACGCAGACGCATTCGTGAAGCTGGAGCCTGTTGGGGGCCCACCAGTGGTTTAGGGTTCAGGGGTTGGGGTTTAGGGTTGAGGGTTGAGGGTTTAGGGTTTGGAGTTTAGGGTTTGGGGTTTAGGGTTTGAGGGTTGAGGGATTAGGGTTTAGGGTTTAGGGTTTCGGGCTTCGTAGGGAGGAGCCTCAGGCCTAAAGCCCAACATCCCAGATTCGGAGCCCTAAGCCCTAAGCCACAGACCCAACTTCTGGAGACCTACAGCCCCAACCCTGAATCTTCTATGCCGCAGCTGTTCCCGCAGGACCTTACTGGTATAAGGTATTTGGGGTCGTGGAGATTTTCAGGATCTTCATAAGTTCCAAAATGATCCCAGCATTCTTCATTTCCTTTTCATTTATTGGGCCCTAACACATTCCAATATCCGTATATTCATCCTAGACCTAAGTCGTAAGCCCGAAACCCTAAGCCCTAAAGCCTAAACCCCAAACCCCCAAAACCCCAAAACCCCAAAACCCCAAGCCCTAAAGCCTAAGCCTTAAAACCCCCAAAACCCCAAAACCCCAAAACCCTAAGCCCTAAAGCCTAAGCCTTAAAACCCCCAAAACCCTAAACCCTACATCCTAAAGATGCAAGCCGCCTTACAGCTTCGAACAGAGGAGCCCTATGCCGTGCCTTGCGGCAACACTTGGATGAAGGACCTTGGATGGTAGAGTCTAAAGGGAACAGGGGTTTAGGGTTTAAGGTTTTGGGGGTTTAGGGGTTTGGGTTTAGGGTCAAGGGGTTAAGGATTAGGGTTTAGGGTTTAGGGGTTCGGGATGAGGGTTAAGCGATGAGCGTTTCGGGACTCGGGTGCAAGGTTTAGGGACTCGGATGTAGGGTTCAAGGAAATTGTGGGCTTTGCTTGCGCAGTTTTTCTGGACCATTGCTAGCAAAGCCAGCCTAGGGTTTAGGGTTTAGGGTTTAGGTCGCTGACTGGCTTGAGGGTTGGGAAATCCTTGAGCACACCGAACTCCAGAGCGCAAACCTCCAAATTCCAAAATGCAGTGGCCCAGGACCATTGGAACAAGTGGCAGGGCTATTCCTTCTACACCTCGGATGCGGCAATTGTTACTGGGCCCTTAGGGTTTAGGGTCCAGGATTCAGGCTAGTTTTCAGGGTGTAGGGACCCTAAACTCTTAACCCTAAACCCTAAAACCTAAGGTTTCTGGCCAAGGGGTTTCAGGGGTTTAGGCTCTACATTTTGGTTCTTCTTTCCAAGTTCTTTTTTTTGGTCGAGGTTTTAGAGTTCAGATGGCCATTTGAGAAAAGAAGGCTCCATTTTGTAATTCCTTTAGCTCTAAACCCCTCAACCCTCAACCCTGAAACATAAAACCCTAAACTCTAAACCCTACCCAGGCGACCTAAAGCTTATATCATACCTAAAAGCAAGACAGTTTCCATTGCCCGATATCTTTAAGACATCCCTATATACCCCTTCATGACCCTCAACGCTAAGCTCTACATGCCTATAAAGTCCGTATATGCCCCTACATAACCCTCAAAGGCCCCAAACCCTTAGCTCGAAACATGCAACCCTTCACCCGCACACACCACCACCAAGGAAAAATGCGTTACCGTGAGCTTCTCCTTCAGTGCTCAGCCCGTTCTTGCCTTCGTGGCTGGCGTGCAGTTGCTGGGCTTCGCGTTGGTAGGTTTGGGGTTTATTGGGTGGCAAACCCTACGCCCTAAACCCTCCAGCCCAAAGCCTAAACTCACCAACCGATAACCTAAACCTTAAGCCCACCATCCTACACCCTAATCCTCAAGCCCTA